TGTAGTGCCCAACAACTGTAGCGGTGGCACCGTGCACAGTGTTTGTACATAACATGTACATCATGCCCCTGTGACGACTGACTGACCCGACGGCCGGCCGATCATCGATCAATTGGATGCAGCCATGCTGGGGATGGATCGGAGCTGGACGCCTGAACCCTTGCATTGCTGCTAGCTAGCTAACCTGCCCACGTTAATGTGGGTGGGTGGTCGATCGACATGCATGCACACTGGCACGCGTACGTACGTACACTACTGTGCACGTAGGGGATGTCTGTCCGTCTGTCTCTTCAAATCCGTTTCTAGATCATTTCGTTGGAATAAGGAGGTGTTTGGTTTCTCCTCCAAAACTTTAGTCGCTGTCCCATCAGATGTTTGAACACATGTATGGAGTATTAAATATAAACAAATTACGAAACTAATTGCACAGTTTACGACTATTTTGCAAGACTTAATCTTTTAAGCCTAATTAGTCCATGTAGTGCTACAATAAATATGTGCTAATGATGGATTAATTAGGCTTAATAAATTCGTCTCATGGAGTACTGACGGATTCTGTAATTTGTTTTTTATTAGTATCCGAACACCCCATACGACACCCTCACGTGACACCTCCTAATTTTTAGTCACCAGATCCAAACACCCCCTAAGACACGCATGTATGCCATGCGATGCACATGCACTATATCCATCATCATGTTACGACAGTGACGACGCTAGAGATAGCTTCTGGTCGATGCTTCGCCAGCAGCGATCGAGGACTTGGCATGCTGGCATATGTGTACGTACGTTATGTACACACATGACTAGTATAAACGTCTCGTACGTAGACACATACTACTACGTACTGTACATGATACATACATAAGCCTACGACGTACTGTACATGATCTCTTGTTGTATGCAATGATTGTAGCACGGAAAGGAATTGAAGAGAAGCAAGAGAGGAAGTGAAATGGAGGGATATGAGAGCGCTACCTAGCAGGGTAGATGGAAGAATACGCACACAGCATGATTTGCTGCGGAGCGTGCGAGGCGCCGGCGCTCACTTTGAGGCCGCGCCTTGGTCGGTCGCCGGGGAGCGCCTCGACCAACCGGGGGCAGCCACGTCGGCGGGAGGCCCCTCCCGCGCCTGCGTCTGCGTGCCTGCATGCATGCATGCAGTCGTCCGTCCGTCTCCCCGCCCCGCGAGGCCGCGACCCATGCACCGTCGCATGCATGCCTCCCCTCAATGCCTGGTCGGCCGGGGCAGCAGGGCTGCACCTGTCGCCCTGCCCCGTGCCCTGCCTCTGCCTCTGCCTCTGTCTCTGCCTCTGCCTGCAGTCGTCAGCCTCGCTGGCTGGCTCTTTCTCTCTCTAACCTCGATTGCTCCCAAAGCTATGGCAAACTGCTGCATCTGATCTTCAGTCCTCTCCTCCCCCTCCATACATGTGCACCGTCGTCGCCTATCCGGCACTGCACTGCACTGTGCACCCGGCCTCCTCTAGTCTAGAGAGAGAGAGAGAGAAAACGCAGACATAGATCTGAGAGAGAGATAAAGGCAGTAGTTAGATGAGATGACAGATGAGGAGTCCTGGAAAAGGCAAAGGGGTTAAAGCTCGGCAAAGGATGGGAGGCCGCGACCAAGGCTATTTCCAGCTCTCACGCCCAGTAGGCGCCAAGTGAGTGCCGCAGCCAAAAGCTGATGCGTGCATGCACTGCACTGCATGGCCATGGACGAACGACTGATGAATACGTACTGACGCTGTACTGCCATGTCCATGCATGCCTAGCCTGCTAGCTACCTAGTAGCTGCGTACGTGTAGCCTCCTAGCTCCCACCCCTGCCACCACTCTCGCTGCAGTCTCAAACTCAAGACTTTGGCTCCTTCCACTCTATCAAAACCCCTCCGCCGGTATCTTCTTCACACACACATGCATGTACTACAATATCAAAAGATATATAATATAGAGAGAGATCCTATACACACATACGTGTAGGTATATGCAAAAATACGAAGATATACACACTTTGTATGCATTCCTTCCTTCTTTATATAAATATTTGTATTCCATCTTGATGGATACTCTTTGGCCAAACATTTAATGCAATGATACACAACTCTCTTGTGTATTCAAGAAATTTTTTAATATATCTTAAGTTATATGAGTAAACTTATCTATTTTCATAAAAAATGCAAGTAATATTTCATGTTTCGAATGACCCCTTTTATAGGATGTTTTTGTGGACAAGAGACACTACATCTTTGCTTTCAATTAAACTCTCCTTACATACGAATATGGTGGATCCTACACATACAACATGTGGTGTATTTTTTTTAAAATTCCATTACACTAGTTGTATATATATAACAGGAAATATATAAACTTATCATAACTACTATGTTTTAAGAACAATGGATCAGGGAAGCAGCCGCTAATTTTTAGTGAAATTACTTTGGATTGTACCTAGAGAGGTGATGCACCTAAGTTGAGATTGTAGGAGGGATCCACACCAGATCTCTTATATTGCATCTCCTATAAGTTGTTTTATGAGAGTTCCTTAAAAATCAATTTAGGATATAAGAGAGTATTGCTGTAGCAGATTACCCAAAACTTGTCTCCTACATTTCTTTAGGGATAGGAGAGATGGGGTTATCTCCTTTATCTAGGAGAAATGATGTCTGTTTTAGGAGATCTCTTAAAAGTTATACGTGTAGGAGATGAGATGTGAGATATGATATATAGCACCTTCATCTTCTAAAATACTACTTTTCAAGTATCAATTTAGTCTGTAAGAGAGTATTGTTGTGTAGTAGATTACCCAAAACTTGTCTCCTATATTTTTTAGGGATAGGGGAGATGTGGCTATCTCCTTTATCTAGGAGAAATGTTGTTTGTTTTAGAAGATCTTTTAAAAATTATAGGTACAGTTGATGAGATAGGAGCCTCAAGCAAGCTTGCCGAGAACATGTAGCCGTATCCCAGGCGTCCAACTTTGGATACACAGGACTGGGGTACATGCCTAGGACATAAGTTGCTTGGGAGGCTTTGAAGCAAACAACTCCTAAATCTAGGTCAGTTGGGAAAACATCTGCGCTCCAAAAACCACACGAGTTATATACTTAATTAGTCCTTATAATTTGTACGTTGGTATCCTAATTACTATGGTACTATTTCATATTGACCACCCTACAAACGTAAATCATCGTCAACATTATCGAAACCATACATTGTTATTACAATAAACTCTTTTAGTTTCTACCAACATGTTTTTTTGTACAAAATGTTAGCAAGACCTGGCTTTTGAAGACAATATAATGGCATAGTAAAAAGGCCATACATTTGTGCACTTTAATTTGGAGGACGGTGCTTTTTAACTTCCCACTTTGAAGAAAGTTCACTGGAAATAGATTGACTTGAAAATTGACGGATAGAGTCTCTAACGAGTGTTATATATGGAATGTTTTAAATGGAATGCTAAAACTGAAGTTTAGGGTAAGTCACTCGCTACTAGTTGCAAACATGGCACCGAAGAATTGGCCTAATAAGCCCACTTTAATTAGTCATCAAACTGCACTTATTGTCATATGTAATATGGTAGTGCAAATTGTACATGACGGTTTGCATCGATCCCCCTGCTTTCTCATGAATCCTACTTTTTGTAAGTGTCTCGACGAGTTAAAAAGCAGGGTACCATACCATGAATATTATGATGTATGTGTGTCGTGGCTAGCTAGCTAGCTTTGTAGACCACCGTAGGCATGTAATCCCCCGGGCTTTATCTGATGTATCCCTGTGGAGTGTAAAGTTGAGTGTCTGTATACCTTGGCAGCTGACACAAAGTGATCGCAAGTTGCAGGCTTAGCTCGCAGGTAGAGAAAGAAAGAAAGAAACAGGGTGCGTGGTGGATTCTTTTTTTACCACATGCATGCCCTTGGCGATGAGTACGTAGTTTTGGTTTTTACTACAGATGTGGGTGAAAAGACATGCAGGTAAAAGGCCCTGCTGGCTGCGCGAGAGGTGACGACGAGGAAAAGATGAGCTAGCGAGAGGCGATCGACGACGACGATGCATACATGTGGTGACAATGCTAGATAGCTCCGGGCGACATGACTAGTTGCCGGCGAGGGAAAGCACAAAAGAGAAGCATCCGAGAGGTTGACGAGGCATCGTTGTGGTAACAATGCTGCAAACCACGCAGGTGGTGGCGTAGCGTATAGCGTAGCACACTGCACACGCACACCCCTCTCTCTCTGTCTCTCTCGCTGCTGCTCGTAGCATGCATGCAGCAAAATAAACTCAGCGGCGAAAGATAGCAACAGTAAGTCACGAGGAGTAACCAGACACTGCTAGCAGCTGATGCCTGCTGGTACTCGTACTCTCCTACCATATACTACTACTCATGCATCATGCAGACAGAGAGAGACACAGGGACAGATGAGAGAGACTACATCATACGACAGTGTCTCTCTCCAGCTCTTTTTCACTCTCTTAACATCCACGAGACACTGTGAAACAGTGGTAGAGCTTTGGGCACAGATAAAGACCACACACGACACAGGTAGTACAAGAAATGACCATGACACACCGAACAAACTCTCTCTCTCTCTCTCTCTAACTCGATCGGCACCTATATATCTGATCTGCAGGGCCGCCGTACGGTGGTATCAAGGTATAGTACGAGGACCTTAGCTACCTTTGACACATGCGATTAATAACCAACAACAAGTTCAAACAACTAGTCTACTTGTACGTACGTACGTACGTCGACCTTAGCAGTAATGCATTGCCATGCAAAAATTGCAGACGCAAAGCATCACGTACATACATATACGTACGTACGTCGACGACGGCTCATGAAATATTGCAGCTCTAATTAGAAGGTAGTATATAGCTACTGAAATCTATAGCTAAAATAAAAGACGGCGCCTAAGAGATGAGCAAGCTAGCTAGCTAAAAACTCAATAAGCAGCAGAGAACTACTCATGTCGATTAGATCGACCGAATGAAGAAGCAAGCCTAGACGACGACCATGTCGCTGGATTCTCCTCCGGCGCCGCTGTTGCAGTTGTCGTCAAAAGTCTGCAGGTCGGCGTCGTCGTGGTCGTCGTCGTCCTCCTCCTCGTCGTCCTCGATGGCGACGGACTCGACGATGTGCGGCGCGTGCCCGCCGCCGAAGGAGCGGACGTGGTCCTTGAGCGACCGCTTGTGCTTGAAGTCGGAGCCGCAGACGCAGAACCAGAGCTTGCCGCAGTTCTTCTCGTGCGTGCGCCAGTCGCCGCGCACGGCGAACCGCTTGCCGCAGCGGCGGCACGCGCAGGGGCGCGCGCCGTGCTTGCGCCGGTAGTGCGTCTGCAGCGTGCGGAAGTCCTTGAGCGGCCGCGCCCGCGGGTGCTCGATGTTGTTCCGGCACCCATCCGCGCAGCAGTAGCACGGCAGACGCATCAGCGACGCCGGCGGCGCCGTGCCCACCGTGATGGCGCCGCGCAGGGACTCGGACCCCTTCCGGTACTGCGAACCGTGGCCCCACATGTGCATCTGCTTGCATATATCACATCATTATATTAGTGCAAATCTATCACAAAACCAAACACACATGTGTAGCCATTAGGGCAACGTCGTAGTTACCTGCATGTTGTTGAAGCGGTTGAAGGTCTTGTTGCAGACGGCGCAGGAGAACTGCGTGGAGCCGACCAGGATCTCGGCGGTGGAGGGGATCCAGTACTGGCTGGGCACCTGGCTCCCGCCCGGCGTCACGGTCGTCACCGTCGACGGTGCCGGCGGGGCAGCGAAGCCACCGCCACCACAGGCGGAAGCCGCGTTGTTGCTGCACGGCGGGGCTATGGACAGTGAGATGCTCACATCGGGCTCCTGCTGCTGGTGCTCGTGGAACAGGAAGCTACTGTGGCGGCTGCTGCTGCTGCTCCCTCCGCCGCAGACTCCATTGTAATGGCTTTGGTGGGTGAGCCAAGGGTAAGAAGAAGCGGCGGAGGCCATGGAGGAGGTGGTGGTGGCGCAGATGGGGGGAGACGAGCACGCCGAGGAGGAAGTGGCGGCGATGCCGTGGTGGTGGCCGGGAGGCCAGAGGGAGAGGAGCAGCATGGACTGGTCGTCCTCCTCCTCGCCATGGCCATGGCCGTGGTGGCCGTGCTTGGTGGGCGCAACGGCGGCGGTGTGGTGCTGGTACGGGTGAGTGGCTCTGTAGCTGTGCATGACGACCAGAAATTCAGTGAAGAAGGCTTGAGGGGATGGGAGGGGAGCAACAAGTGTTGGAGGAAGAGAGGGCTAGCTCTAGAGAGAGCTGGTGTGATTGGTGGTGGTGGTCTGCTGATGCGGGAGAGAGAGCTAGGCTCTGCTTTATATAGCTAGCTAGTTAGTGAAGAGGCCAGAGAGAGAGGTATTGTGAATGATTGGGCCTTGTTTAGATTGAGAAAAATTTCAACCCGATGAATAGTACCACTTTCGTCTTATTTGGCAAACTTTGTCCAATCGTGGATCAACTAGGATCAAAAGATTCATCTCGTGATTTCCAACTAAACTGTGTAATTAGTTATTTTTTTTACCTACATTTAATGCTCCATGCAAACATCTAAAAATTGATGTGATGGAGAGAGAGTGAAAAAACTTGGAACTTTGAAGGGAACTAAACAAGGCCTTGGTAGTGTAGTGGGGTGAGGCCGTAGGGGGTGCTTGCACGTGCAACGACATAGGTACGTTAAGTACATACCCTACCATACATCTAGGGTTATTAGCTTTCCAACTTTGTGATACTTGCATAGAGTTATTAGAATCAACTTCTTGTTTGTATATATCCATGAAACAACAAACTCTTACACAAGAAATCGTACGTATATACATAGGTTGCAATAATGTTTATTTTTTGATGAGCATTTAGTTTACTTATGCACTTCCTATATTCTTACACTACCAAAATGGTGGAATTCTCCTAGTGTTTTTAAGTAGTAATAAAACACTATCACTAGCCATGCACATGGGAATCCTCACTAGGAGGCATTTAATAGGGAAAGTTTATACTAAAAATTGAATACTAAAATACTAGGAGAAGTCCACCTCACTAGGAGAAGTCCAAAATTCTGGTTGTGTTAAGTGCTTATTGGTTTTGTTTATTATTGTTTAGCAAACATGTAATTTTGTCGTTGTTTGACTATAGAAAAATTTGTGAATTGTCTCTTGTAGTTGTCCTTTAGATTGTACTAGTTAGTTGTCTAAGGTTGCTGCCTGGGAATTTAGGAACCTAAAATATAGCAACTCTCCTTTTTTGTATGCAATGCCTATGTGTATAGTGAGATAAATTCAGCAATTTTACTGTACATGCTACTCCCCAGTCCTAAAATACATGGTATCCAGGCGACTTTTAGGCAAAATAAGACCACCTTGCCCCTCACTAATTAGGATAAAGCTGGAGTAGTTCGGTTGATATTTTCCTTAGTTACTAGATGTTTGTTTTGATTGATGCCAAATTTAAAAAGAAATCTCATTATTTGTTGCCAAAAAAGGATAGAGGAGAGACGGGGTGGAGATAGAAATTTTGAACTCTGGATCCCTTGTATCTAGAACGGAGGGAGTACATATTTCTCCATCCACTTCACCATCCGGAGTGCACACATGTACCTGCCATTGCTCATTTTATAAAAAACGAAAAACCTCGATTGTGTATATGTGATAATGTACTTATTCTTTCTTCATGTTACATCAAAACACACAAGGACCTCTATACCTATCACTCATTGGCTCAATGCTCATTGCACACCCCTAACTTAAGACTCTTTGATCTCTCACATTATGTATCCTCACATTATTAATTGCCCCTCCACAATGTTCTCCCATGAAAAACTTTGCAGAATGGAGGTAGTATGTTTGTTTATGACACTTGTAACCAAAGGAGTACATTACATACGTGTGGTTGACACAACACAACAAGGAAAGGGGGCCTGCAGGCGCCTGGGTTGTAGCGGTAATTTTGCAGGAGGTAGGCGCTGGAGGCATTAGGGCAGGAGGGGACACTGGACCGGCATATACACACTAGAGCGGTAGAGTCTAGGAGGGGCAGCGCGGCAGCAGCTAGCGGCACACACAACACATGCATGCATGAGACCACCTGCCTGCGTGCACCTCACCTCAGATGGGTTGGGTCCCACGCGCACACGACTCCCGAGGACGTACGGCACAGTCGCGCATCACCCACCCCCTTCTCTCTCGCTCGCTTGGCATGCAGTCGGCATCGGCACGGCACGCAGATGCTTTTCTTTTTCAATGTTTCACCTCCCCTTTTCCTGCCTGCATTATTTCGCTCCACAACGTACTAGTACTGCATAGCAGAAATTACCATGTTACGTGCGGCACCCGGAGGGAAAGAACGAGTAAATAATAATACGTATATCCGGATAAAAAAATTGAAGTGTGCGTTCTGCTCGATCGCCGCACGTACTGCTGTACAAATGATTCGTAGAATCGGTCAGAACTAATATGTATACTCGATATATGCCCGTGCATTGCACGGGTCATAAGTTTTTGTTCTCGTCTACGGTGATACATGTGCCTTGTAGTTTAGACAAACATAGTAAGAAATCTATAAATCTATTTACATAGAAAATATAAAGCCCGTTTTATGATTTTATCACCTATATCGTGTACATAGTTTATAGAAACATAATCAAATTGGTTTTCACTTTTTAACATATTTGTGTGATTTTTCTCTGCACCTACAAATATGAAAGGGAATCGAGGTCAACCGCCATAGTACACAAGAACAATTGCTTGATAAATTTAACCAACAATTAGGCAGCACAAAGACCAACTGCAACATATAAGAACAGTTGCGTAATAATTGTTTATTCTAATAAAATAATAGAAACAGTAGGCTGATATTTGTTGTCTTCAAAATGAAGTTGATATCCAAATACAAATTTAAATTTGAACTATTCGGTTCATATTCACATATAATTAATACGTGTGATATTTCCAGCGAAATATCAATAAATTAATACAGTTTTTATCAGTATTAGAGCTTGCAGCGATTAAACTTTAATGTGTCACGCTAAAAAAAATTGCATACACACGCTAAAAATCATGTCACGTATCCACTCACCTAAAATGCATACACATGCTAAAAATTTAATGCGAATCAAAATATATCAAGTCCAAAGTTGTAAAATAAAAAAGATTGACCATATCTACCATATCACGGATGTATCAATCAAATCTTAGAAAAAGATTTTCTATACCTAAAACTTTCCTTATTTATCATAATTTTATAAAATAAAAATTAAATAAATATATATTTCATTTATTACCTTCCTAGGAGGTAATAGGTGATCGTAACTGTTTGATAAAAATAAATAAATGACTCATAGTTATTTGGAGTACCACAGTAAAGCCATGATGTTTTAGCATGGGAAGGTAGGGGCAGTGTGAGCAGCAGGAGGATGTAGTCGGCCATGGGAGGAGTTGTCCTTTACAATGCATTTCAATGGAGAGTTAAGAAGAACTATATGTTCTGATATTTTTGCATGGTGGGGAGAGGATTGGAGGAAGCAGCAGGAAAAGGAGAGAGGGTAGGGCACTTCTGTTTTCACGTGAAGAGAGGAAACTGAAGATATTAAGGATAGGGTGTGATTAAGAGAGGTGACAAGAGATTAAGGACGAAGGGATTAAGGAGGAAATGCTATTTTTGCATGAAACCAAAGGGGAGGAGGCGCCGTAGAGAGGAGAGAGGGCTATATTCTCATGTGTTGGGGGGGAGGGGGAGAGGGAGTAGGTCTGCTAGAAGGGAGAAAAGCACATGGAGAGAGTTGGAGGGGCTGGTTTGGGCTGGGCCCAAGATGCGAAGAAGATTTGGATGTGTGAGATAAGTTCGATTTGGTCTAAAGCAAAATGGTAATGCTGTAGTCAGGACATCCATCCGTCCGGACGCTTGCTTCCTAGGCCTACGAACCAGCCCAAGCAACCTGCTCCCAAATCAATCCGACCCTTCAACGGCTTACGGCTTAAAAATTGGACGATGCGATATTTCTCCACTCCGCCTCGCGCCGTTCTCCATCGCTGGACCCACGCTGCCTGCTCGCCGCGGCCACCTCCACCGAGCCAGCGAGCCTCCTCGCCACCGCTAAGATCGGGCTGCTCGCTGGCCAGGCCAACCCAGAAGCAGGCCCACGGAGCCCAGACCCTGCGTGTGCCCAGGTGACAAGGAGAGGGGGCCGTCACTAGCCGGGCCTAGGCTAGACGCAGGCGCAGTTGGCCGCTGCCAGGCCGCACCACCATCCTCGGCCGATGGCTGGCCAGACCAGCTGTTCCCCACAGTACTCCGCGTCATGCGGAAGAAGGGTGAAAAACACACATTGCAAGTGTATGTTTAAGTGTTTTAGACGTATGTTGAGAGTGTTTTAGATGGATGTTGCAAAAGTAGATTAAGATGTTGCATATGTTGCAATGATTATACACGGATGTTGCGAGTGTTTGTTCCAATGTTTCATCTGTGTTTTTAGACGTATGTTGCAAGTGTGTTATCTAAATATTGCATATATTTCACACATATGTTGCAAGTGTTTTATCTGAATATTGCGTATGTTTGCAATGGTTTTTAAATGTTTTTCAGGTGTTTCTTTTTCAAGTGTTTCAGAAACATGTTTCAAGTGTTTCATCTATCTTGAGACGTATGTTGCAAGTGTTGTATCTAGATATTTCAAAAGTAGATCGAGTGTTGCACATGGGATGCGTGTGGGAAGCGGGAGGGGTCATGAGTGGTCTCCACGCGCAATCTGGCCATGCGGGCCCCGCATGGGCACGTGAAAGGTCCTAATGGCTAGAGGGGGAGGGGTGAATAGCCTATAAAAATTTCTACAACAACAGTTAAGCAATGTGGTTAGCACTAGTAGAGAACAGACCTTTGATCCAAGGGTCAAACCAGGCTCTAGTCCCGGGAAATATTGCGCCCGAGACTAGAGAGACCTTTAGTCCCGGTTGGTGGCTCCAACTGG